GCCCTTGGAATTTCCAATTCCCTCCGTTGTGGGAGTTGGGATATTTTCCGGAACCACACATTGCCAGTCTTGCTTATTGAGTAAGTACACAGTAATTTAGATTCAACCTACAGCTGTAGGTTGATTCTCAAGTGGGGGCCATTAGAGAATAACTCATGTAATATTCATTAACAGTTTTTCTTTACGGGCGATAAGAAGCCCACAGTTTGCATTTGTAAAGCTACAATGAGGGACAAATGTGTTGACACACTTCCGTAAAATTGCCCCTTTTTGCATAGTGGATGTACTCATCCCCTTCCCCTGTCTACCGCAACCCCTTTCCCCCAAAATCGATGTTGAATTTTGGGCCCTCAAGTCTCTTTTTTACTTCAGACAACATTAATTCGGGGGGTGAGGGGATTTATGGTGTTTAAAAAGAATGAAATAATAAATAAATTAAATGTTTGTTAAAAGCACCCATTTAAACAAGTGTGTCAACTACTTTTGTCCCTGATTGTAGTGACTACAAGAAGTAAAAATAGGTGTACTTCATCTTTTTCTTTCAGCCTTTCAAGAAGGGGATCCAGACAGACTTCTTCTACCCACTGATTCTAATGGTAATCAAACTAAAATACTGAATTTAATAAAGGCATATAATACTCTGTGATCTCAACATTCATGCTGTGATCACTGATGATGATAGTCTACACAGTCATGATAATATGCTACTTTATGTCTTGTCTTTTTCTGGAGTAATTAATTAAAGATCTTTATCTTTGATGTGTTAGGCCTACATGTAGGCCAAACATCGAACTTTTCATGAGATGGATCAAACCCTAATTTGGGTCAACCTAAATTAAGTTGAGATGGTCTACTGGGTCAGATGTTGAACTTAGGACGTGTCGAACCAATCAACTGAACAGGGCTTCTGATTATTCGCGGAAAAAAAGGCAAATTTCGCAGGATTTTTGGGGACAAAATCGCGGAAAAATCGGTCGATTTCGTGGGAATTTTCAGGGTAAACTTGGCCGGAAAGCAATGGGTAAACAAACGGCGGATTTTGTGGTTATTTTCAGGGCAAATTTCGCAAGAAATCAATCGGTTTTGCGCTGATCAGACCAGCGTTTTTAATGTTTTTCTAACAGAGGACATCATTGCTCTTTCAACAACAATACACTCTAGAAATGAACCAATGGCAAAGCCTTTAACATCATGGCTAGTGCCCAGTTTTTCGCAACATAATCTACGCCTGGTAGTTTTGGATCTTTGTTCATAAATTTGCGAGCTTACGGCAAGTAATACCCCCAGTAGCTGAGACAAGTTTCAAAATTGCTGTACAGACATGTATTTGATAAGATTTCTACCGAATTTCACGGTATTTTGTGTGTTTTTGTGAATTTCGCGGGATTTCGCGGATTTACCTGAATTTCGCGGCTCTGCGACCGTGCAAAACATCAGAAGCCCTGACTGAATCAGATCAGAGATAAATTTTCTCCCAAAAAAGGCTAAATAAACATTATGATACAAATTTTTTAATTTATTAGTTAAGTTCTTCACATGTGAAGATCAACATTAATTTGTCCTGGAGACGATCGTTAACTGTTCTATCCGATCCATCTGAAGCGGACGGATAGAATGTGTTGGACGATCCAAACTCATTCAGGGGAACTTAACTGCATGAGCCAGACCTTGAACTTTCATGAACTTAACTTACTAAGTTTGGTTCGTCTCATGAAAAGTTCGACATTTGGCCTAGACCTTATCTACCTGTAAACTGTAAATATGGATTGGAAACATTAGAAATAACTGATTCAGTACAGATTTAACACTTCTGTTTTGAAACTATCCAATATCAAATCATCCTGTTAGCAGGGCGGGGTTTTTAGCATTTCCAGAAGGTGTCCATAATGATTACTTAGGCATTCACATAGTTGGATTGTGTACTTTCCCAAAAGAGTTTCTCTTGGGGAAGTAAACAAGCCAATATTACAGGAATATCAGCAACACAAATGACTTTCTAAAAACCTTGCTGGATGGAAACCTCTGTCAGGAAGGTAATATTAAAAAAGCAGACTAAAATTTAAAATCCTGAATTAGTTACATGCAGGTATATATTGTGCACTCAGCTTTTAGGCAGTTTAAGCTAATTATCTTCAGAGTATTCTACAAAAAGATATATGTCGCTTTTAATGAAGCAACAAAACATGATTAATTTAAGTCACAAACAGCAAAAAAATCAGCTGGAACAAAAATGTGTAATGGACTTCTTCATATCTTAAACAAATCAATTGTTAAATATTTCTTTGCAGGGAATACATGTGGAAAGGGTAATCACCAGTAAGTATCAATTTTGATGTGCATTTTAGTGTTGTCAGAAGTAACTGGCTGCTGGCGAAAATCGCCACCTTCTTGGTTAGTATGGGCCGGCTACTCTGCTTGGCATTTCTTTATCGATGGCATTTTTTCAATAAAATATCCCTGGACTGGCCGCTTACTTTGACAACTCAGCTGTCTACTTCAAAACTTTCTGGCAACCCTGAATTTAATAATTTATTGTACCTTAAATTATTTTTTTATATTAGTTATGCACTTTTTGAAATAGTACGTAGTTATTTATTAAACTAATTCAGTTATTCAGAATTAATTAAATCATGGACCCAAAGTTTTATGTAAATGGTATATTACTTATGCTTGTTTAACCCTTTAAGTCCCAACAGTGACCAACAACAATTTTCTCCTAACAATATCCATACACTGTCAAGAGATAAGGTTATGAGAATTAATAAAGTGATCACCTAAGGGAATTGGCCTTGATCTTTTATCAAATTCTCTCAACTAATTCTTTAAAGGAGATGTATGGAGGTCAGTTTGGAGAATTTGTTTATGGATATTGGGGCTTAAAGGGTTAAAGGGACTATGTCACATCATCTGCTTTCTTTTGAAAATGCTAAAATGTGTTGTACACATCAAATGAATTGCAAAAATGTTATGGCCTGATTTTGTTATTCAAGACTATATTCAGGCATTGAGGCTGTTTCCTGTCATCTGTTGCAATGGATAGAAAGGATGAACTCAAAACCTTTTCAAGTTTTAACACTAACCTCGCTAAAATCACCAAAAAATGTTTAGCAATTAATGAATGAGGCAGAGTATTATAATTAATGAATGAGGTCGAGGTGGATAACACCCTCCTCGATCTGCTTAATTCTTCATATCCCACGAAAGCCGAATTCATTAATTGCGTTATTATTCATTCAAAATAATTACTAGTTTAATAAAAACATAGCTAAAACATGCTTACCTGCATCGACGTTAAGTTCATCTTCGATAGTGTACATTTAGGTTCGTCGAGCTCTGCAAATATTCTCCAAATAGTAGATGTCACCCTCGGAGTTGTCTTCTTGCTATTTTTGCCATGTTTTTATCTATTATTTTAACCAGTTCCAGCTGTAGTTCTTACTCTTGAAACGAGTGAAATGTCCGCCATTTATTTTTCACAACCAAAACAACTTGACCTCATCTCCAGGTCTTCTTGGTAACGGTGCCTTAACCTGTAGCAGGCTGCATTTTTGACCTCATTTCCTTGTTAAACAAAAAATTCTTCCAAATTTGGTCATCAGTAACTGGTTATGGCGAATTATGCGTGTGCTTTTAGCCAATCAGAATTGGGGAAATATTTTGAATGAATAATACATTATAGTTAATGTGCTCTCATGAAATTTGTTTAATATCTTCCTCTGACTGAACATTAGTTTATGTTTATGGGTTAAGGGTACTCAGTGAGTAATGACCACAGCACAGAATTGAACTGAAATAGCAATATCTTCATGGCATACACCTGTAGCCCCTTTCAGACCAACTTGATGACATGACTGTTTTTCTCTCTTTTTAGGGATAAAAAGTACCTTGTCTTCTTTGACATCAGTACATGTGTCACTAAAGGTGGAGACTTGGCACAGTTTGTTAGCATTCCTTCTTGTCCAACGCCCCAGGTGATTATGCCACCCATGACGGTTTGTAAAACATGCAGTGTAATGGTTCTCTTTTAAAGCGCTAACTACTGAAGGATAAAAACCAGGCCACTATGGGTTACAGGAGATGCTCTGCTGCTTTTAGCTGTTACAGGCTACAGTACATAACTCAGAATACAAGTGTGTATAATGTTCCTCATCCCTTTTGCCCTATCAGGAACAGTCTATTGATGTGTGTACCTACATTGTCCTACAATGTAGGTAGTTAATGCAGCACCTTGCAATAAAAAAATTGTTGGATGATTAACCAACTTTAATCTACAGACAACTCTCTCTTAACATACACCTTTGTAAGATGGACACTGGGTGTTGGTCATTGCCAATTTTCAGTCATTTTGGTGTTCACAATGCTCCAGCTTTAGCTGTTTTGTATAACAAGCGAAACAGACATGTATTTATGGCGAAAAGGTTCAGCTTTATAATTATTGGTGGCACGTTACCTCTACTCTCTATAAGCCTGGACACCTCTCTAACGGACAGCTAGGGCTGGTCCTGAATGTTTCCGTCTTAAAGAAATTTGACTGTATGACTGATCTTATTTAGTGGTTGCCTACAAGGGTGGGTAATTACCACGTTTGGGTCACCTACAGCTGTATAATAATTTAAGCTCCACACACACACATACATGTAATGCAAATGAGGGGTTTGTCAACAGGGAAGAAGCAACTGGAACAATGTACACTGTATGGCCTTCTATAGCCTGCAAGCAGGCTCACCTGTGCAAATGTGGGGAAAATGTTGGCGGTAGAGCCACCATTCCTTGTGGAATGGCGGCCTCACTGCCAAAATTTTCCCCAAACTTACACAAGTGAGGCTGCCTGCTAGGCCTTCTAAAGAGTGCAAAACTTGAAGATTCGAAGAATGTCAAAAAGCATAGTTTTTGACTTAAACTGCATCAGTAAAAACAATCTTTCTTGGAAATGACCATGTTACTCAAGGAGTGTTTGCAGACACATGTATTAAAAATTTCCTTCCGTTTCTTGACTTTAGGTCTGTGTTTCCAAGTGTCCCACAAAAAATGAGTTAGGGACAAGTAGAAATGCAGCTGACATGATTTGTAAAGAGGGATTAAATGAACCTGTCACAGAGGTAAGCTTGCTTTCCCCTTTTGTTGCACTCTTAACTAAAAATAACAAAATTAGCTTCATAGTTAACAATTATTTAGTAGACTTTTTTTTATATAGCGCTATTTCCATATGCTCAATAGCGCTTTACAGAATTGGTAAAAAAAGAAAAAATAATAAATTATATACTTACATCTGAGTCAATGATGATAAAAAGAACACCTGACGAATTCCATAAGTTACAATAAAAATTCTATTTAAAAATTCTAAACTGCAATTAAAAACTAAATCCCTAAAACTTAAAAGGATAACATCTGAAAGATGTATGATTTGAGATTCTATAGTTATTATTTTACATTGGCTAAACCTAGTCCCTGTGAGTAAGTTTAAAAGGGTAAGTCTTATTGTTGGTTTTAAACTCTGATAGTGAGGCATTTCTGCGAATACACCCTAGAAGTGAGTTTCACCAATGAGGTGCCGCAAAAGAGAGCTTTGGTTATAAGTAACTAAATTAACTGATGGTACTTCAACTAGGTTCCGTGTAGAGGATCGCAAGGTCCTGGTTGGTACTTATGGCTTAAGCAAATCTTTAATGTAGGCAGGTGCTAACCTGTTGAGTGCTTTATAGGTTATTAGTAATAATTTTAAATAATACGTTGACTGATTGGAAGCTAGTGGAGTTGTTTTAAAATAGGCGTAATGTGGTCATACTTCGTGTAATAAGTTGAGCTGCAGAGTTCTGTACATTCTGTAAATGATTGATTAAAAAATTACGCATACCGTATAGTAGTGAGTTACAGCTATCTGGTCTGGAAGTGATACGTGTAACGCTCTACCTTAGTTTCCTTCGTGCCTTGCAAAATTGAAACACTAATTTAATAGTCCCTATGATTAAATTCAGTGCTGCACTGTAAGGAATGTTCATGGGAAGAGGCTCATGATGTTCTTATTTAAGGCAGAGCTGAATCACCGTTTTCTATAGTTATGCCATAATCTCGAGTACTGTGTGTTACTGTAAGGCTGGGCCTGTAATGTTTCTGATTGACGGACTTTTTTCTTGTGTTGACAGGGCAACAAATACGCCATGGTGCAGCACGGAAAGTGTGCTCCGTACTATTTGAAATCACAGTCAGGTTTGTGATGTGTTTATTATCAAGAAGAGTTGTTCACATTGATAAAAAAGAAGCATACATGTGGAATAAGGCCCTACAGACTTGCTGTTGATCTTGTTTTAAATTCTCCTTTTTTACATGTATAATATGCAAAGCAACTTGGCAGGACAATGAGGTAGTTTATCCCGCAAATTGCCAAAACTACGTGTAAAGTTCGCTTTGTTCAGGCTTTATTCCAGAAACTCCTTCAACTGAGCTTTCCAAGAATGTAGTTTCGATAATTTCGGTAAAAATTCATATGGAACAGTTCATCCTCGTTAAAAAGCGCTACTGTTTGTTGGAAAATTTCCCCGAAATCTCCTTACAAATGGTAAGTGCTTTTGGTGTCACTAACAATTCCTTATAATAATTATTATTATTCATTAATAACTTTTATGATATGCGTTATGTTTTAGTGTTGTATCGATGCATACCAACGTTAGTGGACAATTTGATTGATTCCAATGGCTCAGTGATACAAAATGTTGCTGGAACCAACATGACAAAAACTATCATTCAAGGAGGAATAAAGTTAGTGGTATTTCATTGAGTTTAATTATTTTTATTGTTTTTCACATTGCCGGCCAGTCTGGTGCCATATCATACCTTGTGTGGGCATGTTGTTTTCATTATCCTATACACAAACTTAACGGTCACCAATTAAAATTTAAGCGTCAAAGAATAATCATGCTTACTCGCTCAGCTTAAAGGCGATTATAACACTATTAATTAATTAATTAATTAAGTAATTAATTAATTAAGTAAGTAAGTAAGTAATTAAGTAATTAATTATTATTATATCTATTTCAGAAACAAACAGCCGCAATTAGGGCTGTGCATTTGGGTGATATTGAGTAACTCTGCAAAGCAGAACTGACTATTGTTTGTTCTACATGCAGTGATTAGTTTTGATTGTTTATAACAAGGATTTATTTTGTTATTTTCACTTAGTGGCTTGAAGATTCTTATGAATTTGCAAAATTTTGGATTGAATGTAAGTTTTGCCTCAGTTTGAATAATTTGCACTTAAGCCCCGTCCACGCGGATCCATTTTTGCTTGAAAACGGAGATTTTTTATTCCGCTTTGGTCTACCGTCCACACATATTTGGTCAAAACGGTCGCCGAAAATGCATCTTTTTAAAAACGCTCTCCGGAGTGGAGATTTTTGTAATCTAGTCACAGTTAAACTGTAAAGGGACTTTATTTTCTATTTTTTTAAATTCTTTTTCAATGATTCCTGTTGTGAACTACTTTGTTGTTTTGTTTTTATTTTTCTTTGCTCTTTATTGACACTGTCACTAAAAAGGTGCTGTATGTGGCATTTTGTTTCTAGGTATTTGAGGACGTGAGGGCTGTATGGTACTGGCTCTTAATGTAGGTTGACATGATAGCATTTGTACCCTTTACATTTGACTGTATGATGATGACCATGTGAGTCCGAGGGGACTCGAAGGGATAATGATGAGACTGAGTGCGTGAACGACTGTAGAATCTCAAGCCATGATTGTTCACAGCAACATTTTCTTTTACTGGCCAGCAAAAGGGGGATTAAAGGATTAAGAGTGGTGCGATTGTAATTATCTAAAGCTTCTTAAAGAAATTTGACTGTATGACTGATCTTATTTAGTGGTTGCCTACAAGGGTGGGTAATTACCACGTTTGGGTCACCTACAGCTGTATAATAATTTAAGCTCCACACACACACATACATGTAATGCAAATGAAGGGGTTTGTCAACAGGGAAGAAGCAACTGGAACAATGTACACTGTATGGCCTTCTATAGCCTGCAAGCAGGCTCACCTGTGCAAATGTGGGGAAAATGTTGGCGGTAGAGCCACCATTCCTTGCGGAATGGCGGCCTCACTGCCAAAATTTTCCCCAAACTTGCACAAGTGAGGCTGCCTGCTAGGCCTTCTAAAGAGGGCACAACTTGAAGACTCGAAGAATGTCAAAAAGCATAGTTTTTGACTTAAACTGCATCATAAAAACAATCTTTCTTGGAAATGACCATGTTACTCAAAGAGTGTCTGCAGACACATGTATTAAAAATTTCCTTCCGTCTCTTGACTTTAGGTCTGTGTTTCCGAGTGTCCCACAAAAAATGAGTTAGGGACAAGTAGAAATGCAGCTGACATGATTTGTAAAGAGGGATTAAATGAACCTGTCACAGAGGTAAGCTTGCTTTCCCCTTTTGTTGCACACTTAACTAAAAATAACAACATTAGCTTCATAGTTAACAATTATTTAATAGACTTTTTTATATAGCGTTATTTCCATATGCTCAAGAGCGCTTTACAGAATTCGTAAAAAAAGAAAAAATAATGAATTAAAAACTTACATCTGAGTGAATAGTGATAAAAAGAACACCTGACGAATTCCATAAGTTACAATAAAAATTCTATTTAAAAATTCTAAGCTGCAAATAAAAACTAAATCCCTAAAACTTAAAAGGATAACATCTGAAAGATGTATGATTTGAGATTCTATAGTTATTATTTTACATTGGCTAAACCTAGTCCCTGTGAGTAAGTTTAAAAGGGTAAGTCTTATTGTTGGTTTTAAACTCTGATAGTGAGGCATTTCTGCGAATACACCCTAGAAGTGAGTTTCACCAATGAGGTGCCGCAAAAGAGAGCTTTGGTTATAAGTAACTAAATTAACTGATGGTACTTCAACTAGGTTCCGTGTAGAGGATCGCAAGGTCCTGGTTGGTACTTATGGCTTAAGCAAATCTTTAATGTAGGCAGGTGCTAACCTGTTGAGTGCTTTATAGGTTATTAGTAATAATTTTAAATAATACGTTGACTGATTGGAAGCTAGTGGAGTTGTTTTAAAATAGGCGTAATGTGGTCATACTTCGTGTAATAAGTTGAGCTGCAGAGTTCTGTACATTCTGTAAATGATTGATTAAAAATTTACGCATACCGTATAGTAGTGAGTTACAGCTATCTGGTCTGGAAGTGATACGTGTAACGCTCTACCTTAGTTTCCTTCGTGCCTTGCAAAATTGAAACACTAATTTAATAGTCCCTATGATTAAATTCAGTGCTGCACTGTAAGGAATGTTCATGGGAAGAGGCTCATGATGTTCTTATTTAAGGCAGAGCTGAATCACCGTTTTCTATAGTTATGCCATAATCTCGAGTACTGTGTGTTACTGTAAGGCTGGGCCTGTAATGTTTCTGATTGACGGACTTTTTTCTTGTGTTGACAGGGAAACAAATACGCCATGGTGCAGCACGGAAAGTGTGTTCCGTACTATTTGAAATCACAGTCAGGTTTGTGATGTGTTTATTATCAAGAAGAGTTGTTCACATTGATAAAAAAGAAGCATACATGTGGAATAAGGCCCTACAGACTTGCTGTTGATCTTGTTTTAAATTCTCCTTTTTTACATGTATAATATGCAAAGCAACTTGGCAGGACAATGAGGTAGTTTATCCCGCAAATTGCCAAAACTACGTGTAAAGTTCGCTTTGTTCAGGCTTTATTCCAGAAACTCCTTCAACTGAGCTTTCCAAGAATGTAGTTTCGATAATTTCGGTAAAAATTCATATGGAACAGTTCATCCTCGTTAAAAAGCGCTACTGTTTGTTGGAAAATTTCCCCGAAATCTCCTTACAAATGGTAAGTGCTTTTGGTGTCACTAACAATTCCTTATAATAATTATTATTATTCATTAATAACTTTTATGATATGCGTTATGTTTTAGTGTTGTATCGATGCATACCAACGTTAGTGGACAATTTGATTGATTCCAATGGCTCAGTGATACAAAATGTTGCTGGAACCAACATGACAAAAACTATCATTCAAGGAGGAATAAAGTTAGTGGTATTTCATTGAGTTTAATTATTTTTATTGTTTTTCACATTGCCGGCCAGTCTGGTGCCATATCATACCTTGTGTGGGCATGTTGTTTTCATTATCCTATACACAAACTTAACGGTCACCAATTAAAATTTAAGCGTCAAAGAATAATCATGCTTACTCGCTCAGCTTAAAGGCGATTATAACACTATTAATTAATTAATTAATTAAGTAATTAATTAATTAAGTAAGTAAGTAAGTAATTAAGTAATTAATTATTATTATATCTATTTCAGAAACAAACAGCCGCAATTAGGGCTGTGCATTTGGGTGATATTGAGTAACTCTGCAAAGCAGAACTGACTATTGTTTGTTCTACATGCAGTGATTAGTTTTGATTGTTTATAACAAGGATTTATTTTGTTATTTTCACTTAGTGGCTTGAAGATTCTTATGAATTTGCAAAATTTTGGATTGAATGTAAGTTTTGCCTCAGTTTGAATAATTTGCACTTAAGCCCCGTCCACGCGGATCCATTTTTGCTTGAAAACGGAGATTTTTTATTCCGCTTTGGTCTACCGTCCACACATATTTGGTCAAAACGGTCGCCGAAAATGCATCTTTTTAAAAACGCTCTCCGGAGTGGAGATTTTTGTAATCTAGTCACAGTTAAACTGTAAAGGGACTTTATTTTCTATTTTTTTAAATTCTTTTTCAATGATTCCTGTTGTGAACTACTTTGTTGTTTTGTTTTTATTTTTCTTTGCTCTTTATTGACACTGTCACTAAAAAGGTGCTGTATGTGGCATTTTGTTTCTAGGTATTTGAGGACGTGAGGGCTGTATGGTACTGGCTCTTAATGTAGGTTGACATGATAGCATTTGTACCCTTTACATTTGACTGTATGATGATGACCATGTGAGTCCGAGGGGACTCGAAGGGATAATGATGAGACTGAGTGCGTGAACGACTGTAGAATCTCAAGCCATGATTGTTCACAGCAACATTTTCTTTTACTGGCCAGCAAAAGGGGGATTAAAGGATTAAGAGTGGTGCGATTGTAATTATCTAAAGCATCAAAGTCGGTGTTAAAACTCCTGTCTTTGATTTCAACCCTGCAGTCGTAGTCCAATCTCTTACTACACTCCAGAATTAAAAAAAATAGCGATGGCAAAGCCTGACCAAAAAACTGGATAAAATTCTAATAATAATAAAAACATTGCATTCCTCTTTCCAGGAACTTTTCTTGTAAACGTAGATCATAATTATATTCACTTTGAGTGTTAACGGTTGTTTGTCTTTTCTTTAGTGGGATGATTCTTGTTATGATTCTGGCATTTATTTACATTCTCATCACACGGTAATACACTGGAGTTTTAAACTACTCTGACTAAATGCCTTTTTATGTTGTGTTACTTGTGATTTAACACCCATGAGCAAGCGCGTAAGATGCTGTTGCCAGTAGTTAGGGAGCGTAAACCCTGGTTTTCATATGTCTGGAAAATTCCAGGCGATCGGGGATTTTACTTTTTGCTGACCGTCCCAGATTTGGTCGATATATCGGATAATCGCCAGAGGTCTGCCCCAGATTCTCCCAATATTGAATTTGGCGGGAAATGGAAAGTGCGCCAAAAATTGAAATTTGTACACAAATGTATGATAGGGAGACTGGAGCCTAGCAATTTAGAGGGTTGGTAATGAGCGAAATCATCGCCGACGGCCCCGACGATACAAATTTGTGTTTTCATTTGTGGGAATGATCACCGGCCATTGCAGAAATCTGGGACGCGTCGGGAAAATACAAACGTTCCCAATTCTCCAGATTTGTCGCCGACCGTCCCAGACAATCAGGGATATCTGCGATTGTCGGCAAATTCTGGGACAGTCAGGAAACAGTAAAATCTCCGTATTTGGGATTTTACAGACATATGAAGACCTCGCTGGACGACGACGATGGTGGCCAACAGTTCTCTTAAAAAGTGAATTCACGCTGTTTTAAAATTCATCCTATTATTGCCTGTCAATCAAGTTGTGAAATTGTTAGTGAATTTTCCTGAATCCAGAAGATAGGAATTAGTAAATCGTTTTCTTGTTTTCACGCTCTCCAGAGGTGGTCGTGCAACGAGGGCAGAGAAATGTACAAAAAAGTAAAATCGCGTTTAATACGTGCACGTGCGAATTCGTTGTCTTTCTTAACTATATATTCCTTTTATGCCATTCGCGTTGCCGTCGTCGTGGCAGCTAAGCTCATTTCATAAACAGTTAGTGCGTTAAAGGGCTATCTGGGTTCAAAGCCCATCCCGACCAATCACCAATGTTTTGGATTATCCTTTTAAGATCATGCTGCCGTGTTTAAATTCTTGTGTCAGTTCATGATCAGGTCATTCACACTAACACACCCATTTCCTTTTGACAACAATCTCGGCTGAGGCGCTCATGCTGGTTCCCAGTGGTGCCAAAAGTCGACCTCCATGTGCTTCCAAGCTTTGCGGTCCTGTGTCAAAGTACGAATTTCGTGAGGAAGGGGGGCGAGGGGGGGGGGGGGATTTT